GATAAGATGATTAATCTCGTCGATTGGATAATCTCTTCCTTAAATTAAAAAAAATGTACGTAACAGGTGTATTTCATTAGAGCAGTCATTTTCGCTCCGTAAGTTTTCCGCATCCTCACGGGTAAATACCCTAATAATCGTATGACAAATATGATTTACATTATTTTGCAAAAATTACGAGTATTTATCCTGATGCTTCTTTTCCAAGCCCTAAATCATCTCATTTCTCTGATAATCAGCAGGTAAACTAACGCAAAAATATTACTGCTTTCAGTATGATGACATTTTGTGCGTCAGTTTGAAGAGCAGGATCCGAAAATAAATAATCAGAAATTGTAAACATTTTAAAATAATTTTTCATAAACGTGAATTCTCTCTTTTTTTAACTTTGGCCTATTTCATGAAGCGTATGGGTAGAGGTCATAAACTGAAGTCCGGCTTGATCGACTTCGGTAAATACACCACTTTGGCAGTTACATTTGCTCTTCTTGCTGGAATTGCATTTCATCGTTACATCCACATTGTTCATCCGTTTAGAGCAAGAGGAATAACTTGGAAACACAGCAGAAATGTAGTAATTTTAAAATGGATTTACCCAGCAATCTGTTCAGCGCCAGTTTTACACAGCACAGAGTGGGTAGTCCATGTGAACGAAAAAACCTTGGAAACATTTGGGAACTGTGAAGATAAACATGGCCTGCCATTTCAGATTTCCGTCACTGTTTTCTTCGCATGTTCGTTCATTATTCCTCTGATTTTTATGGGAGTTGTGTACGGCAGAATAATAAGTGTGTTATGGAGTCGAGCGCGCAACAAATTATCAACAAAAACGTGGCAAAGGTAAAAATACGAGTTGTCAAAATGATGGTTTTGATGGTTATTACTTATTTCATAACATGGGGTCCAAAACTAATCCTAAAGACCATGAAAACCTTTCTTTTTGCAAGCTATGTCTCTGAAGAACATGAAAATGAATGCTCCACAGGAGGTATGGAGTTGGACTCTGCAGTCGTCATTTTTTTTCCTCTTGAGCCCATATCTATAACATATTTTAAACACAGAACTCAACTGTCTTTTGGAATATACTTTTCTCTACAATAGTCACCGAAAGTCAAAATTTGTCTGTAAGATAACATATCCATCATAGAGAAAGATGTTTTTCGTCATGTCACGAGCGTGGTACAAAGAAAAAAAAATCTAATTCCCCCTGAGGAATCAAATCTCAGACCTCTGATGCTCTACCACTGAGCTACAGAGACTCTACGGTGAGCGAGATGTATTACGAAGTTCATACGATAAGCATCCTGCATACTGCTAAGATCAACAATGTCAATAGCATCAGCATCATGTTTGTCATCATGTTCAGCATCATGTTTATAAATAGAATAAGAGACATGGTAAGTTTTGAGCTCGGTAAAGAAATAAAGAAAGATGTAAATTCGTCTTGTCACGAGCGTGGAACAAAGAAAAAATTTTGAGCAGAATTCTAACTCAGAAGTTTTTCTTTGTCTCACGTTCGTGACAAGACGAGAAACACCTTTCTTTATTTCTTTACTGAGCTCAAACCTCACCATCTCTCTTAATCTGCTTATATCCCTCATTGCTATCATTTATTTATTGATATGTAGAGTAGGTTTTATCATCGAAGAAGTAAGAAACATTAATTGTTCACATTTGCATTTAAACTACATTTCTCAGAGTGAACAACAGGTGGCCAGATTATGACTGTTTTTTTTTTAATTTGTCTAAGGATTGGAACGCCAAAATTTAGTCGTCGACCAAATTCAAACGACGGATTTGAGTAAGATTTCCGCACAATCCCATACCTAATTAGATTCACATTTCTTGGACAAAGGAAACAAGGGCGAAAACAATAGATTGCCTTGAGACTGCGGCTTTGTTTTACAAAAATATGGGGCTATTCGGAAATGTTTCTTGGATTTGCACTGCCACAGACGAAAGTGTTGATTACCTGTAAACGAACCAGAGTTTCTTTGATAAATCATCAATTTTCGTAGAGTACAGTTTCTGCACCTTAACCGCAAAACGATTTGCTCGACGTCGAGACTCGGTTCATTTTTGGAATATTTATTTTTAAATAAATTTCTGAGGCGAGTGTAACAGAGTTCGCAGCCTAACTGCGCGGCCTACGTCGTGGTATCACGAGTTTACTCTGCTAAAGGCACAACGATGTGTTTACGTTTCCCAAAAAAATTACGCGCCTTTCATTCTACGAAAAATGTTGTATACTTCCTCTTTAAAGCTCGCGTTGTAAAAGCTAAATATCAGGGGGTTTAAAATGGAACTCATCAAAGGCAACGTTCCAGATATGCCTTCATATAGTTCCTCGTTATCTGACTGTAATTCTGTCGAGCCTTCTCCCTCAACTTAAATTAAATTTCCCTCAAGACTTTAATTTCATACAACTTTGGAGGACAATTTACAAAAAACTACGGAACTCAGAAAAAAACAACTACCACAGCCATGTATATTGACTTTATCTTATCTATCGAGGCGACTTTTGTAAACATCACGTTTCATACAACTTTGGAGGACAATTTACAAAAAACTACGGAACTCAGAAAAAAACAACTACCACAGCCATGTATATTGACTTTATCTTATCTATCGAGGCGACTTTTGTAAATATCACGCTTCAATCAAGGAAACAGGAAGACTTGAATGACATCTTATCGGATCGCCTAAATCACACACGCCAAAACCTATCAGATTCAAGGTAAATTTTTGAAAAAGTGAGGCGTTCTTAACTGATCCAACTAACATAGCTAGGAGTAGTTGTCATAGAAAAGGTAACTACAGAAAAAAACTTTGCGGCCCGACCTTTACGAGAACTTGAAAGTAAAGTTCATTTGAATTGCTTTCGTATTTATTTCTGACGGTTTTAGATCTACTTGCTTGATTTATATCGGTTACGCTTCATGTTGACAAGTCCCTCAAAATGGCGGCCAAACTTGGAGATTGCCAAAAATTAGGTACGTTCACGGAGTTATAAAGTTCTCGTAAAGGTCGGGCCTTGAAAAGTGTCACGACATGCCTTTGCTCGAGTGAAATTTAATTTCCTTAAAACTCCGAAAAGTAAAGAGATCCATTCAAACTGATTGTTGTTTTAGTACAGGTACATGAATGTCTTACAACGCACAAGAAACGAGCGAAATCCGTGTCTCAAGCAAAATCGACCGGACCGCTCTTACAGAGACAATCTCTTAAAATCCCTTGTAACTTTTACATTCAACTCACCGGTGGATGATCGATACTGCAAATTCTATTTGAAAAAACAATATGCCAGGAGGCAATCGCCATCATTCTCGTACATATTTTCCCAGCATCTAACACTAATAGCACCGTCAAATCGATTAATTACACCTTACGTTAAACAGCTTTCAAAAATAACCATTAGAAAACTTAACAGCTGTCGTAGCCAAATGGAAGTGAGATTATAAGGTGATACAAAATGGTCACGTCATTTTGACAGAAACACTAATTTTTTGATAGATCACAGCTTCCACAATTTACGTTTTCCCCCCTTTAAATTGGCATTAAAGTAAAGCTTAAATAATTCTCCACAATTTGTGATCTTTTTTTGATAATTTTTCCAATAATAAAGGTTACCATAGAAACAATACAGCCTTTCTAATTAACCCCTACTATTTCTACATCTACTTATGTATACGAAAATCAGCTATCAAAATAAATCTCTCTGTAACGATGTCATAAAAAGTTGTACATACAGTTTGGAGCCATCTCACTTTTTTTTGATCGGTTAATCATGGTGGCTCTCTTGGAAGAAAAATGAATTTTTAATACGCTGATTGCAATTAAAAATATGTGGGTCAAAGAACACGTTTTTTTAGTTATGAATACATAGCACTAAAATTAAAGGCGCTTCTAAGGAGCTATAGTATCGCTGTGGTAACCAAGCATGTCATAAAGAATGATTAAAACAATGCATATTATTTTAGCACATTTTCAAAAGGAACAAACGAAAGTTGTGGCGGTATCGATGCATCAAATAATTTCAGTTTTAAACTGATAAAACTATTTCGAGAGAAGAAGTATACAACGCCTAAGAAAACGTCGATTGGAAAAATAAACCAACATTTGTCTGACTTTCATTTAATAACATGTGATAGCCTGGGTAGCTGGCGCCGAAGTGAAGAGGAGACGGGGAAGGGGAAAGCTAATTCGAGTGTGGATCGCGAACGTTGAGGTCTTAGCGTTCCAGCTAAATGTTCCCTTTTCGGTATCAAATGATTACTTCCGTCTAGGCAGTCGTAATGTCATTAATGCCAACAACGGCCCTTCTCAAGACTACCCTCACCGGGACGAACAAACTACACGATCAAATGTTACCCCCGGGTTCAAAATATTTACGGTATCTACTCTATGCGCTGGCTGAAGGCTACACTCTCGTGGCTAACGTCGAGCTTCCATTGGAAGTGTGAATTATTTTGCGTCAGCGCTGTTACAGAGTATAAGCTAGCAAGAAGAATTGTTACAAATTACCAAGAACAAAAATCAAAATTGCAAAGTCACGCAATATCGTGCAGGTAAGAAATATACATTACATCAACTAATGAAGTAAGCTGTTTCATTGCCTTCGATCGGAAGTTTGTGAAAATAAACCAAATATTGTGCAAACAAATCATAACAGCGACGAAAAGAACTTTGGTTCCAGCTTATTGGAACTTTATCGCGTTTATGAAAAATAAATGTTTGGGCAGCTGAGGAAAAACTAATTAAGACAAACAACGAATAACTCAAAAGGGGGACATTTCAAGGCTTAAAATGAGATTTTTCCCTTAAAGTATAAATTGACAGCCTGTTAATAGTGCAAGAAAAAAATCAAGTCAAGAATAAACAATACATATAATAACGCGGTTTTGCTAAGGTGAGTTCAGTAATTGCCTTTATTTGCAAGTTTTGGGGGGCTGTTTAGGGCCTAAATTTTTAGAAAACGGGAAGACTCTTTGAAACTGAAAATGCAAAATTCATCTCGACTTTGCTGGAAGATGGATTTGTCATTTGGAAGTGCTTCATCGACGATACTGGCCTTGTTAAACATTATATCTGGCGTTTTAGCCGTGAGCAGTAATCTGTTAGTTTTAATGGCTATTTCCAAGTTTTCTGCTTTGAGGACAGTGTCGAACTTTTTCATTGCTTCCCTTGCTGTGGCTGATATATCAGTCGGAATGCTAATGAATCCAGTTTATGCATCCATCTTCATTGTAAATGCAACGGAGAATAATCATCCACTGAGAGTCACAGAGCACTGGTTGTGGCTTCAAACCACTGTAGTGTCAACTTTTACTCTAACGGCTGTATCCATTGAGCGCCATATTGCTGTTACAAAGTGCTTCCGCTATACCGAGATTGTTACACTTAATCGCTGTATTTATGGCATTGCATCGATATGGATTTTCTCCATTCTGTATGCTTCTCAAAGGTTTTTATTTCACGGCGATGAGGATCTTCCATCACTGTGGATTTGCACAACAATATTGACTGTATTTCTTCCTTTTTTTGTCATTTCGTATTGTTACGTTTACATCTTCAAGGCTGCCCGATCACAATGCATACGCATAGCGGCCGATAACAGCCTCTGCAAAGAAGTTTTGAAAAACAAGAAAGCTGCCTGTACGCTGTGCATAGTGATCGGTCTTTTTGCTTTGTTATGGCTCCCGAGTCTCGCACTGTCCTTGTGGCATATTTCGGTCGCGGATCCTTTGGAAAGACAGTGCATTGACTACTTGTGGTTTTGGGCGGCATTTCTGTCATTCACTAGCTCGTTTTTCAATCCGTGGATCTATACAATTCGGACGAAAGAGTTCCGAATGGCTTTTCTGAAAGTATTACGAGTCAAATCAAAGTCTTGAGAAACGGACATCTCCGGACTACAATTCAAGTGATCACGATGACGACGAACCAGCAAGCATGTCTACTGTCCAGTTTTAGAGAGGAAAACTTATTCGTTAAGCATGCAGAAGAAAGTCCGATTTACTGACTCTTTTGGAGTGATGATGAAACTTCAAAAGTTTGTGAACACACAAAATGTGGCATAAAACAAAACTGTAAAATATATTTAAAGAGGCTCTTATTTTCCTTAGAAGTAGTTTTATTGGTAGCATTATTATGATATCATATTATTGTTAACTTGGAAACTTAGTGAAGCTAGCGGAAGTCCAGTAATTGCATCATATGGCTGAAAAAAGATGGCGCACAGCCTAGTTACCAGGCTCTCTCTCTAGTTTCCGTTTGCGCAAAGGTTTGTATTATTGGAAGAGCAAGGCGAATCTCTCTACTTGACGTCAACATTGCGTCATGGTCTACAATGGGGTCCAGGTTAGACCGAGCCAAAACGAGGAGGTCATTAGGATGGATGGGATTCACAACTAATGAAAAGAAGCGGTTCTTTAATCAAAATTAGCTAAGTAAAGTTTACGGAAGAACGGGAATTACCTTACTACAAAAAAGTCTTATTCGATATATTCGATACATTTTAATTATGCAAGTATAATTACAATTATAACATAGCTAGTAAATTTGTCTCATCAAATTCAATTGCGCGAGCGTGCTTCATATTCCTATTGTGCACGCTTATGACGTCAGCAAACAAATCCCAGCCCTCGAGAAAAAGATTTTCCATCGGGTTGAAAATGTTATAAAACAATTGGTTCATACGTCAGCTGTGCGTTCATCGAGATATGAAGCACGCGGGAAGTTTGGAGAGCACGAAAGATGCGTAAGAGTTGCTCGAGGCGTAGCCGAGAGCAACTCTAGCTTCTTGAGTGCTCTCCAAACTTCCCGCGTGCTTCATATCTCGATGAACGCACGCTGACGTATGAACCAATTGTTAATTTCTGTCAGCTCTGGGTAAAATAAACAATAACTAATGACTATATGATTGCTTAGACGACCGCATCTAAGATTAGCATTATCACTTACTTGACATTAATAACGAATTTCCTAAAAATGATTTAAGTTGAGTATTTCACGGAGAGGTCGACAAGTTTACCCGGTAAAATACGTATTTATAAAAAAGTGGAAAAAGGGGAAATTTCATACATGTTATAATTACGTGCTAACTCCGAGAACTTTTAATTGTTGTCCACGAGTTCAAAGCTGTGCTTGTAAAATTGACATTAATCTATATCAAAATTATTCAATGTATCTCGTAAAGGCCTCTTGTGGAGGCTGATTCCTAAAAGAGAAAGCAACCATTTTATGACCATCATGACCTGCATAACTTTGTAAAGAGAGCAGCAAGACTTAAAAGCGACACAGTGCGAATAACGCGAGCTATTGCTGATTACACTCCAATAAAACTTTCTGAAATCATAAAATTAATTGGTCCTTTCAATTTACACAGGTTTTTAGCATAATGTATATTTTTCTCCTTAAAAAGAAAAGGTTTATAACTTTGTATCGTACTCCCCTGATAAATTGGTCATATCAACTCAAACTGAAACATTAATAATTACTGAAGAAGGGGCTTCTTTGTAATTATTTTTGCACAACAGTCAACCTTCGATTTTCCACAGAAAATAGCCAGTAAATCTTCACGAAAAGCCTTGTTGTAATAAGCAAATATTAGAGGATTCAAAATTGAACTCGTTAAAGAAAATGTCGTAGATATGGGCTCAAGAAGCAAAAAAAAGGGGGCCGGAGAGTCCAACTCCATACCTCCTGTGGAGCCTTCATTTTCATCTTCTTCAGAGATATAGTTTGTAGAAAGAAAGGCTTCCATGGTCTTTAGGATCAGTTTTGGACCCCATGTTATGAAATAAGTAATAACAATCAAAACCATCATTTTGACAACTCGTATTTTTACCTTTGCCATGTTTTTGTTTATAATTTTGTTGCGCGCTCGACTCCATAACACACTTATTATTCTGCCGTACACAACTCCCATAAAAATCAGAGGAATTATGAACGAACATGCGAAGAAAACAGTTACGAAAATCTGAAATGGCAGGCCATGCTTATCTTCACAGTTCCCAAATGTTTCCAAGGTTTTTTCGTTGACATGGACTACCCCCTTGTGCTGTGTAAAACTGGCGCTGAACAGATTGCTGCGTAAATCCATTTTAAAATAACCACATTTCTGCTGTGTTTCCAAGTTATTCTTCTTGCTCTAAGCGGATGAACAATGTGAATGTAGCGATCAAATGCAATTCCAGCAAGAAGAGCAAATGTAACTGCCAAAGTGGTGTATTTACCAAAGTCGATCAATTTACATGTAAAGTTACTGCCACTGAGTTCCACCGGTAACAAATCCGGGATGGAAACAGCTCGAAAGAGAATATCTGTAATTGCTAAATTCAGTAAGTGAAAACTCGAAAAGCTCTTGAAACATTTCCTCTTACGGATCAAAATACAGCAGACTATAGCATTCTCGACTAATCCACAAATCACTAAAATCCATTCTATCACAAAGAGGGCACCAAAGTTCTCATCGTTCTCTGACAAAAAAGGTGCATTTTCGTTGCTGAAATTTTGCCCCTCTGAGAAATTCCGCCCCATTTCTTTATTGATCTTTATTTCGTTGTATTCTTGCCTCTACTCTTGTGCGTCTTACTTTTCAGAACCTCGTGTTTTATACCCACCACACGTAACTGTTAGAAGACAATTTACTAATTTAAAAGCCGAGATAGATAATGTTAACCGCATTTCGCTGGTATTGCGCTGTGCACAATTATAGAACCTGCTACATGCATATTAACTTTCGTTTGTTAACTGAGTACAAAAGGAAACGTCACGACATATAGATTATAATTTATGGTGATTTTTTTTTGCGTAAACACGCGACGAACAACTTGTCATAGTTTTGCCAAATGACGCAGGTGTAAATCACTGCGGGACACTGCAGGTGATGTGAACTCGACACAAATGGAAAAAAAACGAGTGCTGCATTTCATCAAATATTCTCACTTTGCTTTTGTAATACTCTTTTAATATCACAAACTTTCAAGACTGAACTTCTTCTTTTTTAAAAGATACCTAATGTGCTTTTTGTAAACAGAGATAAGCTGATTAATCTCGTCGATTGGATAATCTCTTCCTTGAATTAAAAAAAAATGTACGTGACAGCTGTATTCCATCAGAGCAGTCATTTTCGCTCCGTAAGTTTTCCGCATCCTCACGGGTAAATATCCTAATAATCGTATGACATATAAAATTTACATTATTTTGCAAAAATTACGAGTATTTATCCTGATGCTTCTTTTCCAAGCCCTAAATCATCTCATTTCTCTGATTATCAACAGGTAAATTAACGCAAAAATATTACCGCTTTCAGTATGATGACATTTTGTGCGTCAGTTTGAAGAGCAGGATCCGAAAATAAATAATCAGAAATTGTAAACATTTAAAAATAATTTTTCATACACGTGAATTCTCTCTTTTTTTAACTTTGGCCTATTTCATGAAGCGTATGGGTAGAGGTCATAAACTAAAGTCCTTCTTGTCTTGCCTAATTTAAACACAGAACTCAACTGTCTTTTGGAATATACTTTTCTCTACAATAGCCACCGAAAGTCAAAATTTATCTGTAAGATAACATATCCTCATAGAAAAAGATATTTTTCGTCTTGTCACGAGCGTGGTACAAAGAAAAAAAATCTGAATCCCCCTGAGGAATCAAACCTCAGACCTCTGATGCTCTAAATGCTCTACCACTGAGCTACAGAGACTCTACGGTGAGCGAGGTATATTACGAAGTTCATACGATAAGCGTCCTGCATACTGCTAAGATCAACAATGTCAATAGCATCAGCATCATGTATGTCATCATGTTCAGCATCATGTTTATAAATAGAATAAGAGACATGGTAAGTTTTGAGCTCGGTAAAGAAATAAAGAAAGATGTAAATTCGTCTTGTCACGAGCGTGAAAAAATTTTGAGTAGAATTCTAACTCAGAATTATTTTCTTTGTCTCACGTTCGTGACAAGACGAGAAACACCTTTCTTTATTTCTTTACTGAGCTCAAACCTCACCATCTCTTTAATCTGCTTATATCCCTCATTGTTATCATTTATGTATTGATATGTAGAGTAGGTTTTATCATTGAAGAAGTAAGAAACATTAATTGTTCACATTTGCATTTAAACTACATTTCTCAAAGTGAACAACAGGTGGCCAAATTATGACTGTTTTTTTTAAATTTGTCTAAGGATTGTAACAACAACCTTTTGAGAGAAAGCCAATTTACGGTTTTAAGAAAGTGCCAGAGCAAATTTGATTGCTTAGTATTTGAAATGCTCTTCATCAAGAAACTTAAGCCCAATTTAAATATTCAGACGGACTCCATACGTGCGAAACTCTTTGTTTGATATTTTCTCACGTTACAATTTTTATCAGCTATTGTTGTTTTTTTAGTATTTATAGACCAAAAATCACTACTTATTTTGACTTGATAATGACGTTCAGCCAACGTCGAAACGTCGCCGCTTTTTAGCAATTTTTTTTTAATCTTGAAATGATTTTAAGAAATATTTTAACGCAATTTTTATAGTGAAATGCTTTTCAAAATCACTTCTTGTTCGTCTAAGGATTGGAACGCCAAAATTTAGTCGTCGACCAAATTCAAACGACGGATTTGAGCAAGATTTCCGCACAGTCCCATACCTCATTAGATTCACATTTCCTGGACAAAGGAAACAATGGCGAAAACAATCGATTGCCCTGGGACTACGGCTTTGTTTTACAAAAATATGGGGCTATTCGGAAATGTTACTTGGATTTGCACTGCCACAGACGAAAGTGATGATTACCTGTAAACCAGCCAGAGTTTCTTTGATAAATCATCAATTTTCGTAGAGTGTAGTTTCTACACCTTAACCGCAAAACGATTTGCTCGACGTCGAGACTCGGTT